TACAAAGTAAGCTGAAAAATATGCAAAGCAAAAGAGATGGAATTATTTTGTGCGAGCATCCCCACAGTATCTGTTGTGGGCCCCAAAGTCGACATACGCACTTATTGCGTTGTGGCAAAGCAAAATGTAATATGAAGCCCCTGGACTTGTTAAATTGAGGTTGTTAAGATCTCAAACTTCTATTTTCTTACGGGAAGTGCTTCAACGATTGAATTTTCATTGTGGTGTGGTAGCTCTCCCAACTCTTCTTTTGGATCGAATCAACCCTCAATATGGCAATGCTCATAAAAAGAGTTAATTACAATGTTTATTTTAAAATTGTATTATATAGTCTATACTTTAAAATTATGAATTTTTTTCAAAATACTATTAAAAAAATTAAAAAGTGTTATAAAATCAAAAAACTTTAAAACCCTTTTCTCTCTCTCTCTCTCTCTCTCTTTTTATGAGTAATTAACTATAAACCTTAGAACCATTCTCTTTTCAACCCGTCTTCATCAAACCTCCTATCTCAAGCCCCCTTCTCCCCCATGATGTTGAACCACTCATGTCTCCCTTGTGAAGTTTTAGTCATGTTGCCTTCCATCGTCCTTTGCAAATTGAGTTTTCCCTTAACCTTAATTAGCCAAATGGTGTTCTTAAGGGCTCCTAAAAAACCTAGGAAACAGGGTTGAGGATCACTTTTTGTTATCAATTGGACTTGCACAAATTTAAATAGAAAAATATTTTAAAACTATGTTATTTTAATAAAATATTACCAAAAAAAATTACGATATACTCTTTACAATTAGCATTAGGTAAGAGAATGTGCAATATGTCTCTTAGGAACATCGCAACTATTGAAAGCTTAAATCTCCATCAATAATAGTGTTTTGAAAACCGAATCAGAGATCAAACCATTTTGATCTCTGGTTTTTGGTTTGGTTGGTTTAACTAATTGAATCGGCCAAATAGTCAATTCAATTGAATATGCATAAATATATATTATGCAACACATCTCAATAACCCTGTAGTGGTTTTACTGGTTGGTGGTGTTATTCACATGATGTCAAAATTTATATTATATGTTTCCAATCTATAATCTATTCAGCTTTGAATCCACATGATATTAAAATTTATATTATATGTTTCCAATCTATAATATATTAATTTGAGTGCAACAAGTTAACTATTACTCTTTGGATCAAGTGGAGGAAGCCTTCATTCTTTATCAAGAGGAGAGAAGTTTGATTCCCTTTGATGGTATTTTCAATTCTTTTTTCTTAAAAATAAAATGAATAAAATTTTAAGCAAACCATGTTAGCTTCAAATGTGATGCTTTAGTGGTAAAAGTTGTTTAAAATTTCCTTGAAGAAGTGTGTTCGAACCCTAAAGGTGGCAAATTTATTGAAAATTTTACCAAAACCTTTAAACTATATAGTTGAAGCATTTAGCAGTTTGTACCAATTCAAACAATTCTATTGGTTTTGAATAGTTCAACCTCTATATCGATTTTAGATACCCACCAGACTCATTTATGTGTGTGAGTATTGATTTGATTAGTTCGACTGGTTCAACCAATTAATCCGATCTGATTTTAAAAACAATTATAAGTAGGTTTTATATTCAAATACCAAGATGGATGAAGAGAGATTTGGTCTTGAAGGAGAAGGCTAAAGACAATATGCAACATGGTTATATAACCTTCATAGTTTATATTGTGTAGTATCAATAATCTAAATTATAATTTTAGTGTCAAATAAATTTGTTTAGCCAACCTTAACTAATCTAGTAATAGTATCTTTCAATGGAACTATAAGATTTTAATTCAAGTCATGCAATATGCAAGTGATGTATGTAACGAACTGAAGAGGGGTAACCTCTCGTTTTGTAACATAAAATACTTTTTAAAAAAGTTTACTCTCTTGAAATTGTTGATTTATTTATTTATTTATTTTGTAGTTTTCCTTATTTTTAAAAGGAGGTAAAGGCTACATTACATACCACATCAAATTCTCTAATTTTGAAATGGATTGATTGTAATTTGGGTTTGGGAATCCATCAAAGCCAATAAATATAGCTTGGGAACACAAACCTCTAACAGAATTCTAAAAATTTAGACACCTTTTAAAATACCCACTCAATTCTCCCTATTTCTCTCGGAGAACTCTATGGAAAACTCTCACATTTTTCTTCCTTTCCCAAAACATGGTCCCTCCTTTGCCTCATCTTCTTTCTTTTCTTAATTCAATAACCACCTAAGCCACCTTGAGGGATCCTTCAATGTTGTTGAGGGGTCCCCTCGGTCTCTCTATCTTCTTTCCTACATATCTTTCTTGGGGTTTTTTTAATTTCTTCTCTAGCCATGAATTGCTTTCCCTGTTTCTCATCACAGAAAAGCAAGAAAACCCCCTGCCAGAAGGAGCATGAGTTTGATGCTAATGAAGCAAAATCATTAGGTATGATCCTTTTTCCCTTGATTTGTCTTTGGGTGCCCATTTTGAAAAACCTTTTGATTTCAATACAGGAAATAGAAATGAAGAACCCTCGGATGTTCTTGCTCGAACATTCCATTTTCGTGAGCTAGCTACTGCTACCAAGAA